TGTGTTTAATGATAACCTTGTTCAGCAAAAGTAAGTATGAGTGAAACCTAGATATCCGGTCCACCCTCCTGCCCTAGAGCCGCACCAATACCCGCAGGTGATACATCATTAATAAATACGGAATGTACTCTGAAGGAGTGAGTTCAAAGAGCAGCATCGACTTGAAGAAACTTAAGCAGACTTCATAAGCATGACTCTTGTCCTGCAGCCCATGTAAATGCATTGGGTATCATGACTTGACATAAACAAAATGCGTGATAGTGACATTTAGAAAAGAGATGGAATAGGTATTTAAGAGCACGAAATAATGCATGTGGTTCCGTGAGATTTTTCGTACATAATGCATTTTCCGAGCAACTAGTTACTTCACATCTCGCTTAAAACCATTACTTTCAACTAAGTATGCAGGACATTTATACCTAGATGCACAGAATGAATACTTATTTGGAGTCAACGTAATATTCTCCTCAATTAAAGAAGGCAATAAAGCAATAAGTCTCTGATCACGAACTACCTTATCAGAAGTTCAACACCTTCGAAATCACCACCTTCTTGAAGTATGGCTGGAGAACAACATACACCAAATGCAAGTACCTTGACAACAGTCCTCAAGGTGATGACAATAGGAGTACCCCATGCTGAAAACTGGATTGTTTTAATTTTGCGTTTCGCACACTAATTATTCAGTGTCTAAGTTGTTGCTTCTTGAAGACAATAAGGAATTGTTCATCATTTAAGAAAGACTGAAATACCCTGCACTCCAAGCTCTATAGACTGAATTCTCATTTCTCTACCTCAGTTTTCAAACGTTCATCTGAAACATCCTTGTCTTCTTTGATGATCAATGAATGTGACTCCACCGTATTCCTGTTAATATTTTTCAACCCCAGTATTGTCGGCCCTGCTTCGCTAGCTGAAATCCCACAGGGTATATATGGAGAATTATAATCTGGAGTTGTAATTCACAGCAGTCTCTGCCCAGTGGTCCGCGATACATGACTCATATATATGGCTGATATACATTGATATTTAATTATGCTTTGTGATTAATTGAGACTTCCATAGCATCACTCTAAACTATTAATGCACAAACACTTACTCTACCGTCACATTTTACTACAATAATAAGTTATTCTTTTATTTATTTTTCCACCAATAACATGCTAACTCGGAATTTTACATTTGGATTGTGTGGCTGGTATCGGATGGGAGTAACAGGCGTAAGTAAGTAAGTAAGTATGTATGTAATTGATTTCTTTCATAAATTTGTAACCTTGATATATTGTAGAATGTGCAGAATGGATACAATAAAGAATTTGTCTAATGACTGACTAGTTGGATCAATGTCAAAGACTTCTGTGTCAATAATTACCGATTTGTATTATTGTCTAAAAATATTTAAAAGGAGGAATTTCAAAAGACTAAAAACAACAACAAAAAGAATAGAAAAAAAGAAAAAAAACAACTTTGTACAAGTTCATTCATATTCATTAGAAACTAAATATTTCACTTACCCCTTCAAATAATCTAATATCATTATGTAATTCCATTTTATTATTATTATTTTTTCTTCTATTTTTATGATGTAATTAGTATATAATGAGATGAGCAATGATATAATTAGAATTATTCATAATAATCTATTATCATCTCATTATGAATGATAAATGATATTTCAATGTTTATTATAGTATATTTCATTATGGTTGAAATGTTGATCTTATGAATGAAGAATATTCATTTCAATCAATTTTCTTCATTTTCTATAGTTATATATTTTAATGAATAAATCAAATTCAAAGAAAATAAATCTTTTAAAATTACGTCATAAGATGATGAGATTACTTACTGACCTACTTACTTGCTTACTTACTTACTTACTTACATCTGTTACTCTTGATGGAGCATAGTTCACCGACCAGCATTCTCTTTGGTCTTCCTCACCTCTTCATATTTGGCCTTGAGGATTCAAAGTGATAGCTTGCCTTGTCACGCACTCGGGTGTTTTCCTCAATGTGTTAACTATTCACTTTCAGCGTTTCTTCCTCATTTCCTCCTCTGCTGGAATCTGGTTTGTTCTCTCCCATAGTAGGTTGTTGCTGATACTGTTCGGCCAACGGATCCGAAGTATTTTGCTTAGAAAATTGTTAATAAACACTTGTATCTTCTGAATGATGGCTTTTGTAGTTCTGCAAGTTTCCGCCCCATACACTAGAACTGTTTTGACACTTGTATTGAAAATTCTGACTTTGATGTTGGCTTACAGACAGTTGTTTTGAGTTTCAGATGTTCTTCAGTTGTAGATATGCTGCTCTTGCTTTTCCGATCCGCACCTTCATATCTGCATCAGATCCGCCGTGTTCATCAATGATACTGCTCAGATATGTAAAGGTTTTTACACCTTCCAATGTTTTAATAGTTAGAATCAACATTGGTTACAGGGTTAAGTAAGTAATAAAAATAAAGATAATAATAATAATAATAATAATAATAATAATAATAAAAATAAAATTACAAATGAGATCAAACCTCCGGTGATAGCTTGCTTGATTGATTAACTCAGTGAGCTTGTTTCATTGCTTTGAAGTAAGTAGTTATGTAATCAAGCACTATAGTGGTGTAAACATCAGTACTTGATTAAAAAAGGAAAGTTACTTCATTCAAGTGATCTTACTATGTCGATAAGCATTACATCATATGTCATTTCGATGCATAAGCGTCTGGTCCACATAGCCTGATGATAATTGTCTCTGTAAAACGGGTCTATATAATTCCAAACATCGTTTGTTGTCCTCGCTTTTTTCGAATTCATCAAGAGAGCAAGATGCATAAATTGGGTTTACAGTAATAATCATCATATTTTAGGTAGTGATTAGCCTACAAACAGCTTGAGTGAGCGTTTTAGTAGGGAATTTTAGCCTATGTCTTTGAGCTATTTGGGAGTGAGGCAGTAACTTACTAGATAAGGATAAGTCGTTATTCCGAATCGAATAGATTTATAAACAATAACCTATTAACACACATATCTTGGTAATTTCCTGTCTGTACGCTCACACTAGGATCTGACGTGCATTTGTTCCAGGTTCCAGATTGTCAGTCACAGAATGAGTGTCAACTGTTATCGGCTAGCCATTCATATAAAGAAAGCTTAAGACTATTGAGAACTGATCAAAATATGGTATTTAGGGATTTCAGTGCTCTCCTACATGACACGTTATTAAGCTTAAGACTCGAGCAACAAGCTGTAAATCTACATAAATTTATTCGGTTTGAACTAACCAGCAAAGTTCCCCATAAATCTTTGTCGAAATGTTTACACATGATTCAACTCAAACTTACTCTATCCAGTGTCCGAGTCAGATACTTCATCGAGGCTTTTCGGACTACTGGTTTTCTCTTATGGGATTAAGATATCAACATTGATTGGTCGTTCTTAAGTAACCGCTGTCATGTTTCACTAATCTTGTAGTGATGGTCGAGTTCTATGTGACTAACACTCTCAGTGATCGGATATCATGTTATACTCTGTTCCGTAATAAACAGCTTTCACCAACATTAGATTCTTATACACTGCCTTCTCTTAAAACGGATGTTCATTCAATCATTTGTTTTTCACGTTTTCATTGAGTTTGTTACAAGTGGTTTTATTATTCTAAATTTTAGGAGAATATAAGCGGTTAAGCATTGATTCGCAAGGATTTCATACTGTGACAACATTCGTATACTTATATAGTTAAATATACCGATTACGTACTATTTCTGTTACTACATCACTTCAAAAGACCAACATAATTTCATTAAAACTAAATGCAACAGATCGAACCCATTTTCTCAATCATATTAAAATTTGATTGTCAATTGATTGGAAAAAAGACCCAACTGATCTTATTTTCAAAGAAAATTGAATAGTAAATGATGTATACTCGTTTAATGAATTGCTGAATTAAGATCTCACTGTTATTACACACTTTTTGGTTTGTTGTTGGCTGCATAGCCAAAGTTGATCTCTGATGAAGAACTTCAATTTTGCTTTTCTAGACTAAATTATGGAGGAGTTTTATACATTGTCATCGTACATCTTCTAAAACAACCGTAACACTTAGAAGGAAAGGGATAAATGATGACAATTCTCCTTCACGGCTAACTCAAAAAGAAATCAAATCTTTCAAATCCATTTGATAAACATAAATGTTATTCTATTGATTCGCTGTAATTAAAATCGTGTCATCTGCTGATTTAGTTTGAATTTATTTCGCTATCTCTCATATTTGAACTCACTCTCACGGCTAGTTGGATAAACAAAGTTTAAGAGATTTAATGGTTCGAATTTGCACTGCTAACTAAAACTACGTAAATGTGCATCAAATGGCAGCATACTACAGCCGCTCATCATGTTTTTCTCTAAAGCTAAGAAATTGGAACACAACACTGGATTCATAGACAGAGGTTTTTTCATGATCATCATCACAGATTTATTGTGGCTTAATAACTATTGAAAATCAGTAAGCACACGGTATCTGTTCCGTTCAGATATGTCACGCCTTAGCAGTGCTCGTCCACTGATGACCAAACACCAGACATTTGGTCTCATGCACAGACGTACATCTATCTCGTAAAACAAGTAGAGTGGTTTTAAATTATGGACACTGTTTCCTCACACTCTATCCAAATCTGTTTATTTGATATACTCCAGTGTTTCAGTTCTAATTCTTAGCCATTCAAGTGAGTTCCAAATATTTAAGATGATCGAAATTGTAACGAGTGAAATAATCAAAATTATTGACATTATCGCAACACTGTTTGTCAATAAGTTGTTTTGTTTAGAAGTAGTTCGGATCCCTCTAATCTATATTTATTGGTTGTCAAATGTGAAATTACAGAAGTAATAGAATGTGAAGAGTCTATACACTTTGCTGGCACAACTCCACATTTGATAAGGAGCGGCGTATCAGTATAAATCATTCGAACAACCAATAAAGGCAAATAAAAATATAAGTCTTGAAAACATTGTTTAGATGTTATATTTTTCGTCAATATTATAATTTTAATTACAATAACCTTGGGTTATTCATAAATGTTTAGAATGTTCATTGAATAAAATAGTAGACTCCATTCTTTGTTTAATAAATGACAGTGAAATAAAAACACGAGGAAAGAAGTTTAATTATGCCAATTGGAAAGCTATCGAAAAATCAAATATAGTGTTCACAACTTTAAATCCTGTAGCCTTGTCGGGAATTGCCAGATTTGATAGCTTGAATAACACAGATAGCGAAAACAATACACAATAATTGAAGGATAGCGAATACAAATGCCGCTACTAAGACGGCGACAATATACTTTTCAAAGAAGGAGATTACTTTGTATGAACAACCCTGAAATTAAAAAGAACATTATCACGTTCGACTAAAATAGATATTAAGTTGCAGAAAATAATTGCTTTATATCTGATGTTAGAGGTCAAAATCTTTTAACATCGGATGTGTGATATCCTGGAAACATGGTCTGTGTTTTAAAAATGACCGGAGATAATGTGCAATATCCATGGCTGACTCAGAGTGTTGGCCATCAGTTTCAATAATCACCTATGTTTATACCATGCTTCACACAGAAACAACGTACTTTAGTAGCAAGCAAGTGAGGAAAACGTTTGTGATCTGACGTTCTCCACAGACGAATGCGAAACTCACTGGTCAAGATCATCTATCCGCTACTGTGAAAAGTAAAGACGTGAGTTGAAACACACTAATAACGATCAAACATGTTTGTCGTCGTACTATTAATTGTATCCAGTGTGCAATCATCGTTTTTATCAAATGCTGACTAAAGTATCAGTACCGTCTGGTAGGGATGTGATTAGACATGATTCACTTAAAAAGCAGATCTCTACAACTATGATCACTAACGTTACTCCACCACACAAAGTCAGTGTGCAATGCTCATCAAGTTTACAGATGCTACTAGGCTCAACGTCCCATCGTATAAATATGAACTATCAGATTTAGTTGTGGCTTGAATTGTTTGAATTTTGAAGTGTGATCATGAAAGTCTAATGAAGTGATTACTCTTAGCATCTGAGTATTAACAAGAATTTCCAGACTGTAAACAAAGCTGAATATCAAAAAATTTTAACGTGTTCTAAAATTAATTGGTGGTGGTTCTAATATCTACACATTAGTATTAGGTTGCATACCCGAAATTTGGGCTGATATTTGCAATCTTCATGTGGTTCTGTGTAAATTATTAGTTACTTTGAGATTATGTTCATTTGACTGAGATCATCTTAAGGTGCTTCCTGAGTCTGAAATCTTACAGCGAAGGTCAACAAATCCCATATCCTATTCGTATCACTGAAGAAAGCAAACAGAAGATCGTGTCTACAACTTCGGGAAACAGTAAGTCCTAAATAGTCACGTTGGCTGAGGACTTCAAAATTGACTGTTAATAGGCATTTCAAAAAGTATTTAATCGAAATTTCAAGATTGTGCAGACACTAGAAACAGTTTGCCATTGAGATTTGATAGATTAGCTTTCAGTCATGCACAAAGGTTGTAATTTTTACTTTTCCATTATTCGTTATTATTTCAACACATTTTATAGGTTTAAATACCCTTCAAATAGCTAATACAAGAGATTTATTAAGATGGTTGTGCATCTGGCCTGTAGCGGTAAATAAATCCCTAAAATAAATAGCTTTGTATTTTTTCGACATTGGATGCTGACCATATATTCTACTGGACTCATGTAGCTGAAGGCGCTCTCTCATGCATCCGCTCCAGATCACTTGTGGTAACGCTGTGCTCAACATCTACCGCAATCACTAGCCAGATTATATCAGAGAATTTGATATATTGGTTATCGCCAAATACACTCTTCCGATCTCCTCGACTCTGTCTTTTGATTTATCTCGGTGTGTACAAATTATATTAGAAGGCATTGATGGTAAAATCGTTTTCAAACACTGAATACCCTCGCCATCTTCATTGGTGAGACTGACGTGATCTGGTACACCCAATTGCAACTGTGAGTCTGTTCTTTTTTGGGATTTTTATATATTATTGCCTTATTTTTTAATTTTTATACATCTATATATATTTCCTTCGTATTTTCGTACTTAATATTCCCCTATGACCAAACAAACTCCTAAGGTATTTAAGATTAAGACCATGTCTACACCCTCGTTCCAACTCATGCCCTCCTGGCCCGACAATATCGAAGCGTGGTTCTGCTACGCATAAGCCGACTTCCACGAGCACGGCGTGAACGACACACGTGCACAATTCCTCGCAGAAGTCAAAGCATTACCGCGGGAATTCAACAGATACGTAATACCTAGTATGTTTACTAGTGATGTCTCTGAACGTTACAAAACCTTAAAACGTTCGATTCTTAAACGAGGAGACCTAACCGATCAACAAATGTTAAATCAACTCTTTAATAACATAGACATGCAGCACAGTTCTGCAACGGACATGTTGCAAGGAATGAGAGAAGTGATAGGCCTAAGAACGTTCGACGAGGGCCTATTCAAACAACTTTTCTTGTCTTAACTTCCCCAACAGGTGCAAGCGGTTCTGGTCTCGTTTCAGAATAGCGCCTTAGACGAACTGGCAGCATCTGCCGATCGTATCTTAGAAATTACGAAATCTTCTACTACCGTGGTATTTTTAGTCAAAGAAAAGCCTCACACGACTCAGAATGACATAACCGAGTTATGTCATACACTCATGCGTTATCTTAATTTTCGTAACGACCATAATCGCAGGCATACCCCACGTAGAAGCATTTCACGTAGGCGATCTATCTCTGGACCACGAGAGACGGATAACACCAACTGGTGCTGGTATCATAACCAGTATGGAAAGTCTTCCAAAAATTGCAGAAAACCCTGCAATTTTCCCAACTCAAAACCGACTGACTCGAAAAACAATTCAGGAAACTTACAAGCCGGCATGCGTTAACGACAGTCGTAGCCGGCGAACATCGCCATCTGTTGTACGTCACAGATGTGACAACGAGAGTTCTAGAGAACTCTCGTCAATACTGGCGCAGAAGTTAGCGTTCTCCCAGCGAATTCTGACGACCGGCTTCACGAATCGGTTTTAAACTTACAGGCGGCAAGCGGAAAACCTATCGCTGCGTATGGCAAAAGGTACGTTTACCTTAACGTGGATTTACGCAAACCCGTTCACTGGATCTTCGTTGTTGCATATGTTTCTAGGCCAATCATTGGTGTGGACCTTTTACAACACCATAATTTATTCATCGATACTCGCAAACGGAGGCCAGTAGTCGGAAACACTAATTTATCCGTTTGCGTAACTTATTTTACTGGTTGCAGATTATACCCAGTCACAATAAAGCATACGATAGACCCACTTTATCAACCATTACTCGATAAGTATTCTGGGATTCATCAAACGCAACCGAAATTACTGTGTGTAACCAGCAACGTTACACACCATATAACGACTACCGGACCGCCCTTCAAATAGCTAATACAAAAGATGTATTGGGATAGTAGAGCATCCGATCCTACTCCCACATCACATCTCACGGGTTTTTGAAAAGATACAAAATTTAATAAAATGTCTTGACAGTAAAACAAAATTCCTTTCAACTTACATCTGAATATGTAACCTTAGTTTCTGGATTTTTACATGAATCAGGAATGGTTTGGTTAGTCAATGTGTAGTCCTTTGACGATTCAGAGCCGCAACAGTGAAACTGCAAAATAAACTACTTTTTGTAATGATGTACCTCTTGTTGTACTCCGTCTAAGAATTCCTTAATGTCAGGATTCTTACTATATTCAGAAACGGAGCTTTTAATCATAGATTGGAATTGAGTTTCCACGTCATTTCTTAACACAACTATTGCTAATCCCCCCATTATTTCGGCTGTGGCAATGACCGACAGTAGAGAGGTGTACTTGGTTTTTAAAATTAGTGTACATAGGATTTACCAAGATTAGACAGAAAGTATTTTTGGTAGCCAACCCAAAAAACCCAAGAAATCCAAGCACAAATAGGAAGCATCCAAAAGCTATTACAAAGATTACGAGATATTTGATATTTGATTCGATTTCATTGGAATATTCATTAATAGCAAGTTGAGAGAAACTTCCAATCACAACTGCAACAATTCCACATACCTTTCAGAAAAAAACATATTTCATCGAATTACATGTAACTTACACAAACGAAGATATTAAATATCACCAGCAAAATCTGCAGACACTTATAACCACAGCTTAAAGAGGCCATATTCGAAAGATTGCACAGAAACAGCTTACAAAGTTTATACAGACTCAGGGTCGTTTTTGATCCCTTAAATAATAGTGACGTAGATTAACAAGACTGTGTAATATTATGTGTTTTGGTAGAAAGTAGATTCACAACAAATATAACCGAAAGCGACCACCATATTGAATTATTTCTGAGGCAGACTCTGTAGTGGTAAATAATTCTCCAAAATAAATAGCTCTGTAAGTTTTCGACATTGGATGCTAACCACACTAGTTTTAATAGGCTGACCTGTCTAAAGGCGCTCAGTCACGCATACGCATCAGCTCATGAGTGGAAACGCCGTGCACAACATTTACTGCAATCGCTAGCCAGATTACGTCAGACAATTCTCGATATATTGATAGCCTATCAAATATATCTTCGAACCCCCTGGTTTCTGACTTTTGATTTCACTTGGTAGGTACAATTCATATTAGAAGGTGTTACTGATTGAAGCGTAGTCAAACTTCAAATACCTGTGATATCTTCAACCTTATTTATTCAACATGTTAGATAATTCTTTCCTGAGATTCACATGAATACGAACTTCGAAACAAAGTATTGAGGATGATACAGGTATTCAGTGTTTGACAACGCTTCTACCAGTAACACCTAATATACTTTGTTCCCACCAAGAGAAATCAAAAGACAGAGTCGAGGAGATCAGAAGAGTGTATTTGGCGATAATCAATGTATCGGAAATCTCTGATCTAATCTGGCTAGCGATTGCGGTAGAAGTTGAGCACAGCGTTACCACACGTGATCTGGTGCGGTTGCATGACCGAGCGCCTTCAGCTAAATGAGTCCACTAAAACATATGGTCAGCATCCAATGTCGAAAACCTATAGAGCTATTTATTTTGGGGATTTATTTACCGCTACAGTATCTACCGTCGTAGATGAGAAATACAAACCAAAAACTCGGGAAAACTTCTTCCTCATCAAGTATTCAGTAATATGGAACAGTCTTCCCTCTGTAATACGCATGGCAGATGAGTTACACACGTTTGTCAAACTGCTTGATCACTTGCACTAGTCTAGCGCATATGAACAAATCTGCGCCAAACTCAGACATCATAGGCTCTCTCCATGTCTAGACCAAGATGGACTTCACGTTCAGTTTCCCTTATTTTTCCTCCTTTGCAGTCGTATTAGTTACTTTTTCCACCTTATTTTTCACTTGAAGTAGACAGGCAACTCACTGGACCAATCGATACTGTTCAACTAAACTCGGTTGCTAAGGGACACTCACTACCCCCCTAAAAAGTCAAGAGAACCGCACAATCGACTGCCAACTGCCAGTGGTCTCGCATCCATGGAGCCTGTTACCAATCAACTTGTTAAGACAACACAAAACAACATCAGCCCCAAGTTAGTGTGAGTTTCTTCCTGCTTATTCTTAATTATCTTTTTACTCTTGTGCACATTATATTGACCGGCAACTAATATTATTTCTCCACTCGTTACCTTATCTACAACTCATATACTTACTTACTTACTTTCTTACGCCTGTTACTCCTTGTGAAGGAGCATAGGCCGCTCACCAGCATTCTCTATAATTTTCCGCCTGCTTTAATAAACAACTATTCTACATTATACCCTTCTTAATGCTTATGCTCTGATTGGCAAACTATACTTTATATTATCGTCAATTAAAGCACTGTATCGACGCCCTAGCCACATTCCATAACTTGTAACTGCCTGGTAAACTTGTAAATCGGTACTTATAGAAACAGTATTTTCCAACAGGTTGTGAAACACAGAGGATTGTGTGAGGTATGACATATATCATAAAATAAGCTTAAATGAGCCTAACATCACAAAAGGAGAGAGGGTGGAGTTACTGACCATCAAGCATTGATGGCGAGGGCGACGACTTCAATCCACCCGTGTTTGTGGGGTCGAACATTTTGAATATATCAGGCTCTTTTCGATTGATAAAAAGTCGATCAATCTGTGATATAGATCGTCTCCCTACGCTCATTACTCAGATTCATGTTTCCAATTTTATTTATATGGAGCCCCTGACTCCATTTCACTCTAACAAGAGATAATATGGATTTAATCTAATTTATTATACCTCATTCTGTTCTAATACAAAATTTTATGCAACGTTTGGCGTTCATATCCAAGTGCCTTGATGCTCTTCTGTTTCTCTCTCTTTTTTTCTTCAGAACCCTGCTCTGAGGGCACAGCTATGAAACTTCTGATGTCTGGAACGAACTTGACGTACGCGTCTCCTCAAGGCCATGGTTTACAGCAAGCGTTCTACGAGTCTACTTTATAACAACTATAAACTCGATACGTTGGAAAGCATGTAGTGCGCCAACAAATGTTGTAATTTCTAGATCACGCCTGTAAGAATGGCGTGCACATGCTCATGCAGAAATATATTGTTATTATCTTTTTCTTCTTATTGTTTTTATTTGGCGATACATACATATTCGTTTTGTCTTGTTCTTTGTTCACGATCATGCGTAATAAACTAATTACTTATCTTATGTTCCCTTAATTTCTATTCCCTTGTTTTCTCCTTTTCCTTCTTTCAGGTTAACCCGATATCCTTTTCACTTACACAAAACCTTTTTTTCGAATATTGCGAATATTATGTTAACTTGAATGAAACTAATGTATCATTGCATTTTGAAGTAATCCGCATAACTTACGACTACTAGCCTGCCTAGATCACATTCATCTCGACAGACAGATTGCCTCCAAATGCACCTTCGAATCTCTTTGTTTCTGACTTCTGATTTTATTGAATTGGCATACTTCGATTTTAAAGGTGTTACGTGTGCAGTCGTTGTAAAAGTCCTAATACCTGTGGCATATTTAACTGCCTCGTAGTCCACACATGCTATATTAAAGTTTCCTAAGCTTACAAAAGGATTCTCTTATTACTTCGGATTGTTTATCGCGGCATTCAAACGATCAGGAATATCAGTTTCCAAGTGTTCTCCGAAATTGCACTTTGCAGTCAGTTTTCGTATTTCAAGTATAACGTCTTCAGCTTTCGGATAGTCCAGTCGCATCATTTGATGAAAGTCTGATTTTGAAGATACAATTTGTGCTGTAGTAAATCACTCAGCTGGCCTAATATTTTATAACATATGAATGTAGATGATTTTTACAAGAACCGTATTGTCAGTATCACAGTTGTTGCGCTTTGTGAAGGCTGCGTTGCAACGTGCAACTGACGTATAACAGACGGCTATGTTCGCCAGACACAGTTGCCATCAACGCGTGCCGGCTTGGACGTTTTCCGAATTGTTATTCATGTCGTTTGATTCTGAGCTTGTGAAATTGCAGGATTTTCCGCATTTTTGGGAGACTTTCCATATTGACCGTTTACGGTCGTTACGAAACCTAAGATAACGTGTAAGTGTATGACATAACTCTGTCATGTAATTCTGAGCCGTTTGAAATTTTTCTATGACTGAAATTACGTCGGCATTAGAAGATTTCGTGGTTTTTGGGGTGCGGTCGTTAGGTGCAACCAGCTCGTCTACAGCGTTGTTTTGAAACGACACCAGTACAGCTTGCTCCTGTTGAGAAATTTTGGATAAGAAAAGTTGTATGAATAAGCTATCATCGAATGTTCTTAGGCATATAAACTCTCTCATTCCTAGAGACACGTCCGTCGCAGAACCGTGTTGCAGGTCGATGTTATTGAGGAGTTGGTCTAACCATTGTCGATCGGTTAGGTTTTCGCGTTTAAGGATAAATTGACTAAGTGTTTCTTAGGGTTCTGAATCATCATTAGTAAACATGATAGGTGTTACGTACCTGTTGAATTCGCGCGGTAGTGCCTTGATTACTTCGAAGAATTGCGCACGGGTGTCGTTCGCGCCGTGCTCAGAGAAGTCGGCTTCTGCATAATAGAATGAGGCTTTGATGTTGTCTGGCCAGAAGGACATGAGTTGAAACGAATATGAGGACATGGTTTTTAACGTAAGTACTTTGAGTTTCTGTTCAGTCATGATGAAATATCAAATACGACAAAGAAGCAGTAAATATGTATATATATATATCCCCAAACACGGAAAAAGATGTATCATAATATATAAAAATTAAAATAAAGCGATGATATACAGAATTCCTAAAAGGAACGGACTCACAGATTGCAATTCGGTGTACCAGATTACGTTGTACTCACCACTGAAGATGCCACAGATATTTGGAGTTTGACAACGCTTTAACCAGTAACACGTTCTATATGAAGCGTACTTACCAAGTGAAATGAAAACTCAGAAGCGAGGAGGTTCGAAGATATATTTGATAGGCTATCAATATATCAAGGATCGTTTGTTCTAATTTGGCTAGCGACTGCAAAGATTGTCGAGCACGGCGTTCCCACTCGTGATTTGGTGCGGATGCATGAATGAGCGTCTTCAGCTAGGCGAGTCCATTAAAACTAATGTGGTCAGCATCTAATATCGAGGACTTACAGGGCTATTAATTTTGGGGATTTATTTACCGTTACAACAGTCAGTCAATTAACTATGAGTCGCCTAATATTTAAACCGTTCATGATTATAACAGACCCCCATTGTCATTAATATGAATATGACTAAATGATAGAATACACGGTATACTCTCTTCTATTTTTTATTGATTATTAAATATTCCCTCATGCTGCAATTCTTCACTTACAGATTCGGAATCTCTCTAGTTGTTCACGTTGCATTATTTTTCCTTAGTGTCATGACCTGTTTTTCCGTGACAAGGAGACAGATAACTCAATAATCTCACGAATGCTGATCAACTACGGCCGATCATAAGAATGTCGTAGTGTCATAAATCCTTGCGAGTCACTTAATGTTTTGTCTTCTTACTACAAATCATTTACCATTCTAAACTTTCTCATATTCCTTGATTTGCTATCTATCCTTAACATCCGTAAACCACATTTAATGTCACCTGTGTTTTATAACTTTTGTCATTAGCTATCTTCATATCAGTGTGATATACTAAACGGATATCAAATCCACAATACAAAATCTTTGGCCATCTGATTTGCTTGTAAAGTGTAACTAGTAAAGATAGTGCATTCGAACAATGAGCTTAGAATAAAACAACACTCATACATACCACAAACGTAAGAGAGACTAAAATCACAAAAGGAGGGAGGGTGGCGTTACTGACCAGTAAACATGATGGTGGGGAAATTACTTTAGTTTGTAGAATTGTGGTCTACTATGGTATTAGTACTGCACTAATAACAGACTTAATCCTAAAATTGTGGACTTGTCATGATATAACTGCCTAATCTATAAGATCTTACGTAGAAGTCATACTATCGTTTACACCAACTCTATTTTATCAATTACCAGTACATGACGTAGAACAAGCTTAGGCTAGAGATAGAACAATATATTAAGTATCAATGAAAGACATAAGGTAACATTCAGCAGGGACCACGCCTGCATGGCCGAGCCACGCCATACGATCAACTACAATTCCTTCCTCCCGCCTTCTCCATCGTTGGGTTTCTCTCCGCGTTAAATGTTAAATGTCTATTTCTCTCATTGTCTCGTATTACACTACCACTACAAATCCATCCATGTTTGTAAGACAGAACCTTTTGTTTGGTTACGGCTCCTTATGGTGGAGTAGGATGTCACAAACCAATGGTATTGATGCTAATTCATTATGCAAAATGCCTATTTGCGTTGGCTACATCATGTTGAATACTTTTCACTTCTTACTGAGTAATCCTATTATAAACAAAACTATGCAATCAGCTAAAAACAAATACTGCTCATGACACGACAAA